ATTTTTAAAGGTATAATTGACATGTAAGTTTAATCTCATCGATTAAAAATAATCATCTTCACTTGAGGAGGATTGAATAATCTTATGCCAAGAGGATATTAATTCTCCTTACCATTATTATCCTTTTTTTCAGACACAAATCAAACATAATATAAGATAATTATCATCATATCTTATTAATAATCTTTTATATCAAACATGACCTTAAAATTGTTGCCATGTCATCCTATAATGATTCCTTGCATGTGCATTTACATAGAATATACCATGGACTTGCACTTAAATTTAAGAATTTCAAATATGTCCCTTACTAGAGCTGAAATTCTTTTTCTTAATTCTTGCATGAATTTCACTTATTTTTTGTCTAGATTCAACTAATCTTAAGTCTTAAGGTGTGTCATAGCAAATCTTTAACAATTTCAATATTTCAACTCCAAAATTTTTCAAAAAGTTCAAGATTTATCAAGACATTGCAAAGAATCATCTAAGATTCCTCCAAATGTATCAAGAATCTATCAAAATTGATCAAAAATCACCAAAATTTTTCAAAATTCATCTTTTTTTTTAAATATCTTACATAAAGACAAATTAAGCATATTAAAAGTAAAAATTACCTTATTACACAAAAACTAAGCCAAATTAACTTATTTAAATAATGAAAATAACTCTGTTTTATAGAGTTATTATATCTAATATCAATTGGATTGTTGGTTTCTAAAATTACATGGTAACTTTTATTTTCTAAGTAGTCATCTATGTTTTTTCTTGTTTTCCCTATATATTTATTTATTAAGTATATGTTAGTTAATTTTAGTTATAAACTTGTATTTTCCGTTACTATATTTTTTAGAATTTATTCTTGTAAAGTGATCTTTGATTAATATACAACAACCTTTACAATTACGATTAACCATTACATTAACCTTTATAATTATCATTAATCACTCATTTACGGAAGCGTTTGGTTCATGGAATCTTAGATTTCAAGAAAAAAAGTGATTTCTGAAAAAGTGTAGATTCCTAGCAAAAGGTGATTCTTTTTGACATGAGAACGTTAGATTTTTATGTTTGGTTTAAGAAAAATTCAAATTACTTAATAAAATCTTTTTACTATAATATCCTTCATTACATAACAAAAGACAACATTTTTATTAAATATAAACGTAGTTTTTGACCAAAATAATATGAAGTTAAATATAGTCAAAGACTACATTTTTGTTATTAAAAAAATAAAAAGTAAAATATATGAAACATTATGTCATTTTTATATAAAATGCATTGTTTATATTAAACACTATGTTTATATGATCCTAAATGCAGTGTTTAATACATGTAAATGAAGCAATTTCATTTAACTAAATGATGTTGTTTAGTTAAAAACAATGTTTTTTATGTTAGAAATATAGCCTTTAACTTTAAAATATACAAATGCAGTCTTTAATCAAATACTATGTTTATAAATTTACAAATGTAGTTTTTAATATAAAGATTAGGCTTTTTATGAGAAAAACCTTGTCTTTGAAATGAAAAAAAAAATCACAAAGATTATGTTTATAATCCTAGAAACACAATTTTTGACTTGTTAAAAAGTGTTTTTTAACCAAAAAAACAAATGTGGTTTTAGTTATTTAAAAAAGTAATTTTTAACAAAGACAACATTTTTACGTTAGAAATGTAATCTTTGTATTTTTAAAGATTACGTTTCTAACATAAAAAAACGTGATCTTAATTTTTTAAAAAGGTGATTTTTGTTATTTAATAAAGAATGTTTTTTTATGTCAAAAGCACAATTATTGTCTATTTAAAGACTACGTTTCTATATAAAAAACATAAGTTTTTTTATTATAAAAAAATGCTTTTTTTATTTATAAAAAAAAACTATGTTTCTTATATAAAAAAACATGATCTTTATATTATTAAAAACTACATTTGTGACATAAGAAACGTAGTTTTTATTATTTTAAAAATATTTTATTATTTAATAAAGATTATGTTTTTTATTTTAAAATGTAAATTTTGTTTTTTTTAAACTACAATTTTTTACATAAAAAACATTATCTTTGTTTTAAAAATTACATTTTTAAATTAAAAATGTAATTAAAAGTTTGTAAAATACGTTAATTTTCAATGATTAAATAAATAAAAAAATTTATTATTAAGATCAAATGTGAAACAAAATTAATTTTTCTCTTAAAATCTTAAAAAGTTACAATGAATTTCTGATTTTGATATATTTGAATGTTGTTAAAAATCTAAGATTACTTTTAAGAGTAAGATACCCATAAACCAAATATAATAATTACATTTCCAAAAATAAAATTTTAAAAAATATATCAAAATTTCCCAAATCAATCCCCCTATTTTTCCTTTGATCAGTTGGGTGGGAAAAGATGAAGTGAAGGCCCTAAAATAAAATAATAATTCTAAAAACTATAAAAAAAAAAAAGAAAGATTGTAGAACGAAATAATAAGGTGGTAATGGGCCACAGATCGAGAAAATGAAAAAAAAAAAAAGTAAAAACGGGTCAGTAAACTGTAAACTCACTTTATTTTTCATTCTTTTGATAACTTAAGCAATTTAGTCAGAATGAATTATTGAAAAACGTTTTTTTTTTTTCTTTGTCTTTGCATGTTTGTTTCTTTTTGATGGTCCACGCATGGACAATCAGCCAGGCATTGGCACAGATACTCAACCAAAACTTTTTCAAAGAATTTGACAAAAATGAGAAATGCTACATAGTTTTACTTTAAAAAAAAAATGAAAAGCATTTTAAAAATTCAAATTTTGGTTGGAGAATCCTATTCTGAAACAAGTTCATGGGTTCTTTTCTCACCAATATGGTAACCTATACAAGGGAACCTAAGATGTGTGAAAATGGAATTTGCCCCTTTCATTTTTCTGTTGGCTTGTTGGTCAAATTGCTTGGCTGCCAGGCCATAGTTTCATTGAGTCATTCGTATTCTCCTTCAAATTATTGCAAATAAAGAATGTGATTAATCCAACTACTTTTAAAAAATAATATTTAATATATTTTTATTCAAATATCAACACTTTAATTTTTTTTAAACCAAAAAAATTATTGCAATAAACGAGCATCATGTTTATGATGAGAATTGACAATAAATCAATATTTGAATTGAATGAAGGTGAGAGAAAAGAAAAGAAAGAAAGGAAAATAAAAAATTTGTCATTTCGTAAAATGAAAGTCAAATAAATGATAGGATGCTTGTTTATATATATCATTTTTTATATTTTATTATTATTTTATAAATTTAAAAAAGTATGTATATAAAAAATACATGCAACCAAATAAATTATACCTATATTAATGAAACTTCTTAAATTTATAAAAAAAAATTAATATAAGTTAATAATTAATTGAATTTACAAAGACATATTTAAGTTTTTTGAATTTTTCACTCTGAGTTAATTTTCAAAAAAAAAAAAGAAATAATTAAAAATCTACATTATTTTATAGATTAATAAAATTTAATTTTTTATTTAAAATAATTAATTTTTAGATTATTTACATGATAAATGAAATATTTGAAGGTATAACTGAAAAAAATATTATAATAAATTATTTAATTTTTTTCCTTTTAATCAAATAATAATTTAAGGATTTTTTTCTTTATTAGTTTTAGCTATTTAAACAGAAGTATATATTATTTTTTTCTTTTTTTTTTATTAATGTTTAATAATGTCCATCCAAATATAGTATAAAATCTTATTAAAAGCAGCTTCCAGGATTGTGCAAAGAATGATGCTTAGTTGGTAGAAAAAACAAAAATCTAACCCAGAATGGAGACCGACATAATTGGATGCTTCCCACATAAGACATCACTTAAAGGCCAAAATAAGACCATCTAACATCATTCCTATTATTTGGCTTAATACATACATTCATATATTCATACATATTATAAAAAATCAATGATGGCCATTACCCTTTAATTTATGTAATCCTCAAATTTTCATTACTCCTTTTATTTTTTGACCTTCTGATTTCTTTGGAGGGCCCGTTGAAATAGCATCCTGTTTCCACACCAACACCAACCCCACAAATCTGACTTTTTGAAGACTCTATTCCCATGGATGCTGCCTAAAAGCAATGGCAAAGCATCGTTTTCGGTATTTAAAAATAAGTAAAAGCATCATTTTATTTAAAAATAGTAAATATATTTTTAATAAATTTATAATTAATATTTATTTAAATTATTTTTGTTTTTAATTAATTTTTATATTTAATTTAAGATAATTAAACTTCAATCTTTAAAATGTATTATTCACTTTTAAATAAAATAATGAAATTTTTTATTTATTTTTAAGTAGAAGAAAAGATTCTGTCCCGAAAAATTCTTAGCCTCAATCTCAAGGGAGTTTCGTACAGAAAATGACAGAAGGTGAGATTTAGACCCCTTCTTTATTTATTTATTTTTTTTGAAAGAGAATTTTTTCTTTTCTATGTTTGATAAGTTGGCATCTGTTTTAAGCTTAATAAAAATAAAAAAAGAAAAAGAACAAAGAAAGCATCAGTTACAACATTTCCAGAGGAAAAGCAAAAGCTTTTCACATCTTACGGATTCTACAGGACTCAGGCTGCTGTTTGAAAGAAAAATACCCACAAATTCCTACAAGAAGACAAACTATAGCACACCCTACAAACTCTTAAATTTTCTTTCAAAATTACGAAGACAAAATATAATTATATTCAAATATTATTTATATTAATAATTATTAAACAATCAAATAAAAAAATCTAATAAATTGAAGCATAATTAAATACATAAAATTGAATCTTTGAATTTAAAATCTTAAAATTTTAAATTTTTTTTTGTCTTTAAACCAAAATCTTATTTACAAATGCTAAAGAAAATAAAAAAACTCAATAAATTTTCTAAAAAATATTAAAAAAATATTGAGCTAGCACGAAAATGTTCCTCATCAAAATCAATCAAAATTCTTCTCTCCACTAAAAATCTCAAAATCACACCGTCTTCCCCCCCCCCTCTCTCTCTCTCTCTCTCTCTCTCTCTCTCATAGCCTTTAATCAATTCCAACAACCAGACCAAACCAGAAAAAGCCATGCCATTTCTTATGGAAACCTCAGCTTCAGCTTCTTCTTCTTCATCTACAACAATAGCAGAACATCTAAAACTAAGAAGACCAAGCAGAAATCAAATCAACATAACAGACACAGATCCAAACCCAGTGCCAGAAATCCCATCTGCAATCCAATCCACTCGTTCTAAATCCAGCATTTCCTCTCTTTTCCTCTCCACTTTCTCCTCCACGAACAATGAAACAACAACAACAACCTTAAAACCTACAAAAAACAACAAAAAAAAAGCCAACCCTTTTAGCCAGTCCACTCTCAGAGGACTTGGCTGCACCGCATCTGCATCACAGCAGGTGTCCGTGCCTGCCATGATACGTACATCACCTGATTGGGAAGCTAAGAAAGTTAAGAAGAAAAAGAAAACACAGCAGCAGGAACAAGAAAAGAAGAAGAATAAGAAGCAAAGTAGTAAACTTGTTGGCAATGAGAATAATAACAGTAATAAGATGCATCATCAACAAGGTGTGGTTTTGAACGAAGGGAGTGCTAATAACATAAGTTGTGGGGTAATTCATGATGTTTGGTGTGGACCTGGAATTGGGTTTTCAGCTGATGCTGTTGGCTCCGTGGATTGTGTTGTAGCAAGGAGAAATGTGCCTGCTAGAGGGAAGATTGATGTTGAAAAGGCCAACCATAGGGAGGTATACATATTTTTTATTTCCTTTCAATCCCTTAATGTTATATATAATTATGTTCTTTTGGGGCTTAAACTCCTTGTCCTATGAATTTTTGGATTTTTTTTATTAATGTTGTGAGTGGCTTTTAGATTTGAGTGTTGTATCATTTAGTCATGTTTTTTTCTCATCTTTTTAATGTTAATGTGTTCTAGTTTTGTGCTTTGATCTGGATTTGGCACCAGGATTAGCCATTTTTTTGGTCTTGTTTTACCCTTTTTGGTGCTTAGTCGATTTGATTTTTGTTTGGTGAATGTATTCATCTTTAGCATCCCAATGCATTTATTTATGATATTGCTTAATTAGATTACTTTTCATTTTCCTTTTGATAATTATGACTTTTTGGGCATTTACAAATTCATTATTAACTGGTTAATTGATCCGTGCCTAAAGTTTTTCCCTTGATAAAATCTCATTTCTTTGATCATTTTCCTGAAAAAAAAAATCAATAAAACTTCTTAGGAAACTATAAATTTTCAATAGTTTAGGCTAACCTACAGATTTGCTCTCATTGAATGAGCAAATTTAACTTAGTTGAAGTTTTGCGCCTTAAATTGGTTCCTTCTTTGCATTTGAAGCAAGCATGTTGCATTTTTCAGTATTTCACTCAAGCCCAAAGCTGAAGCATCGGCTTTTAACTACCCCTATTAATTTATTTTTATTCTAATGTATTTGTTGAAATCAGAGTATTATAGAAAAGCTTTTTATTAGGCCCTAAGGATAAAGTAAGAAACTCGTAAAGACTGCTCTTATATTTCCCTTCAGTTGATACATGAAAGAGGATATTTTCCTGCTGTTCTCAGCTTAATTGATAGAACCAGGTGAATTTTGAGTTTTTTTTTTCAGAATATCTTTGTCCTGTATTCAACTTTTAATCTTTTTGATCACATGGTGTTACATTGATAAATTTCTTTTCCTTGGATTTGATACTCTTATTGATTTTATTTCTTTTCTCTCTAATATGGATTTTTTGGTATTTAGTGTGTTAAGCAGCTTTGCCCCTTCATTTCTTTTAATATAAGTAACAAAAAAACGTGCACCTATAATTTAGCTTGGTTACTGATGAAAGACAATAACTTAGGTTAAAAGGCTTATTGTGGATGCCATCAAATTAGAAGATAGTTATATGGAGCTTTTGATAAACTCTTCAGTGTTTGAATTATATGAGGACCCTCTCTTCTTTTTCTGATGTGTAACGTTTTTCCTATCTTTTTCCATCCGGTGCAAAAGATTGTTGAACTGATTCAGTTTTCTCCTTTCAGCATGATCGCTGTTCCTCTATATTAAAATTTGTGACATAACTTGGTTAAGTTGGCTGATTTTACTTCATCTATGTTGACAGCGTTCTTGTATAGCAAGGCGGACTGTAAATCCTGAAACTCTCTCGTTTCTTGATTCTGATTCAGCCTATACCTCAACACGTTCTGAACCTGATTTCTTTGGAGCTAGATACTATCGCCATGTTCGACATTATTCTCCAGAGGATCTTGCTGAGGTATGGGTGGGCTTCTATACAAATATCAAGTAATATCATTTATGCACTCAAGCATAGTTAATTTGGAAAATACTTTCTGATTATAGCTTTTAAAGGTTCAATTTTGGCATGTAAAGTTTACAACTTATTTCATTCTGCAAGAACATAATATGTCCTAGGATTCTGATTAGCCCAAAGAATACTGTTCAATCTATTCCATATGGCTTTTAGCTCCTTGTGAATATGATTGGTTAAAATTTTTTTTTTAAAAAATTTTTTTTACCAATGGAATTTTAACATATATTCTTTTTTCTTTATTTCTTTGCAGTTTAATCTTTTTGTTGTCTTAAACTCTTTTGGTGGAAAAGATTGTCATCATGTGATTAGTTAAACTCAGTTTCTTTTTCTTTTTCAAATATTATTGCTTTTTAGAAAAGAAATAAAGATGGGATGGGTTAGGCTTTTTGTGGTAGTAATTTTTAGACTTGGTAATTTTATATGAAAACAATATGAAAAAAAAAAAAAAACACGAAAGTAACATGGTTTAAATTTTAGTAAAAATCATATATGGTTTTATCAGAAACCAAAAAATGTGTTTAATGTTTAATATGTTCACATGAATTATGACATGATTATTTTTGTGTTTTTCATGTATTTGACATGAAATAGACACGGTGTGGATATTCGAATTGTCAGGTCTAGTAATTTTGACCATTAAAGATTTATTGCAGTTAAACAAGAATAATTTTGTTTGGTCATTAGAGTTGTGATCCCTGATGAAACTAGTCCTAAGATCTTAAGTGTTCTCTGATGCAATAACTGAAATTTTGTCTTCAGCAAAATAATGTAAATTCCAAGGATCTGGGATATTATTTTCAATGGCAGGGTGTTGGCATGACTTGCTTTATTGGAGATTTTAATTGGAACTTTGCTTCTGAAATACTCCAACTGAATTGATTATTTTTTTTCTGTACATGATGTTAGCTTTGTGCTGCTAAAATGAATTTTATTTTTGAGAAGCTAATTGTGAAAGGAACATCAAATAAATAACTGAAGTATGACAATATTCATTTTAATAATTATTGTCTGAAATAAGCTAAAGAGTTGATTAATGCAAAATTGACATGTTTGGAATTGAGGTATTGTAATGTCATTTTAAAATCACATGAAAAAATTGTGGTAAACTGGATAATCCTTTTCAAAGCTACTATTATATTTGTTGTACGGTAATAAGAACTCATTAATTATTCAGTGCCAGTTGATACCTTAGAATTTAAGATGCTTGGCTGAAATGTTAAGTACCAAGAAAATTCAGAGATTGTTCAGTAGGAATATTGTGGTGTTGAACACAGTACAAGGTATACTTTTGTATTAAGGTTGTATGGTGTCGAGTAGGACTGCTTCAAATAAATGCTGAACGGACCACTAAAAAGAGAGATTTTATTGTTGAGATTTTAATATCTTAAAAGTAAAAAAACAAGTGGTTCAGCTAGTAAGCATTGATGCACCAGAGATTCTTATTGCATGATATATGAATTTTGGATTTCAGGTTACTTTTATCTGGAAAAAGATAGTAAGGTCTCTTGGTTTCATAGTATATAAAAACCCTAATGTTCATTTGAAATTATGGGATATAATCTCTTGTGTTTACTCATTTTGGGGAAGTGAACGAACTTGATAAAAAGCTTTATACTCTTTTAATTTGCATTTCAAGTTGGTGGTGGTTGGTGCAGATAATGATGCTACAGAACAATTTGCTAATGGGGGGAAGATTAGACTCATGCGATCGATTTACCGAGTGGAGGCTTGATATTGACAACATGTCATATGAGGTATGTTGTCTTTATTTTCTTAAATTGTATGTTTTCTTTGGAAAAAAAAGAAAAGAAGCTTAGTTATTTGTTATGTTCAATCAAACCTTGTTCAGTACAAAAGTAATCATCCTTGTTGAAACGATAAACATTCTTTTTTTGTACTGCTTTAAAACAGCAATTACTGGAGCTTGGTGATAAAATTGGTTATGTCAGCACTGGATTGAAAGAAGATGAGATAAGTAGATGCCTCAGAAAAATCAAGGGCTCAATTATGAATGATTTAACACAAAACATACCTATGCATGTGGATAAGAAGTGCAGCATCTGCCAGGTGAGTTTTTCAAGTGAAATTGTTTTCTTGTCCACTCTCTTCCCCTTTCAATCATGGTTCTCATTTTAATTTGAAGTAAATTTATCTTTGGATTTGGGTGTAGGAGGAATATGAAGCAGATGAAGAGATGGGGAAGCTATATTGTGAACACAGCTTTCACATTCAATGTATAAAGCAGTGGCTTGTGCAGAAAAATACTTGCCCTGTTTGTAAGACTGAGGCAGTAGCTCGATGCTAGCGGCAGTAATGGATTCAATATAAACCTCGTATTGGTGTATAGATTTTGCTCCAACTACAAAAAAACAAGGATTCATTTTGTTTTCCTTTTCTGAAAATGTGTGAAGCCTTCAACTTCTGTTTGCTTCAAAAATGATGGGCAATTCTTGCTATATGAAAAAAACCCTCTTCATGAAATCAAATATTATTTTGTGATTGTGTTGCAACTTGGCTCTTGCCTTGCCTATCTCTTTTTTTCAATTTGATATAAATACTTGGATTTTCCTATTTGCCATGTTCGGAAAAATTAAGGTTTTGTTTTGTTTTAGTTTTTTTTTTTAAAGAGAATTCGGAAAAAGTAGGTAAAATCTCGAAGAAATGTGACTAAAACAATAAGCTATTGAATGCACTTGTGGGTTGTGCTTTGCATCCCAAGTTTACACTGTAATTCTCTCCTCGCAGCCTGTGTTGATGGCTGATGAGGATTATTTAAATTACCAGTACAAAACGTTCGAATCAAAAGAAAGATGAACCAGCTTAACTAATTGAAATAAAAAAAAATTTTTTGAACAGATAAAAGGACAGTTGTTGCAGCACTGTAGTATAATTTTTTAAAGTGAAATTAAGAGATTATTGTGTATAACGTGCCGAAAATTTGAAGTTAAATAGAAAAATGCTCTCGCATTGTTATGAGTAATTTTTTTTGTTTATCATCTCGTATAATTTTTTATAAAATTTATTTAATTAAAAAAATAAAAAATAAAAACAATACTAAAATGACATGTAAATATTTTAATTGATTATTTTCATAAAATTTATCAAAATCTAATAGATATGGTTATTTTATTATTCACACCTCTACTGATTTAAAAAAAAAAAAATTTTTATTCATTTCTTTTATTATAAATTATCCGATAATAAAAATTGAAAAGGAAAAAAGCTGAAATAGAATGTCATCAGTTGTATATATTAGTGGGCTTTTATGTTCAATAAAATAATCTCATTAAAAAAATTAAAAAGACAAAAAAATTAAAATAAAAAAAAGAAGAAAAAAGCCGAATTGTCACACGATATAGTATTGATGAGCTTTTCTTACTATCATTTTCCTTAAAAAAAATCAAATTCAAAAAAATTCAAAAAAAAATAATTTTTTAATTATTAATATCAAATGAATCCCATGTTAAAAAGTTAAAATATTATAAAAAAATAAATATTTGAAAAGGAAAAAAAAATAAACAAAAAAATGATAAAAAAAGGAAAATATAACTTGACAAGTGGTATAGCCTAGGGATGTAAATGATACATTAGTATTCGCAAGCTACTCGAGTTCGATTCGAAGAAAACTCGAATTCGGTTCGATTATTATCGAGTCGAGCTCGAGCTCGAGTAACTCGACTTATCGATCGAGCCGAATTCGAGTATTCTTATATCCGGCTCGAGTAGCTCGCGAACCTAATCGAGCTTTTTTATTATATATTTATTTTTATTATTTTATTTATAAAATTACTTTTTTACCCTTAGCTTAAAAAACCCTAAAATTTTATTTTTTTTCTTTTTCTCTTCTCCTTCAGTTTTTCTCCCCATCTCTATCACTCACCAACAGCCCTACTTGCGGCGCCTTTTCTTCCCGAATCCCACTCCATTGTCTTCCAAGCTTGTTCCACCCTTTCGAAAGCCCTTTCTCCTCTCTCTAAAAGGCTTGAACAGAACCCGATCTTGAACAGAACCTATTCGACGTTTGCAGTAGCTTCAACAGAACCCATTCTACGTTTGCAGTAGCTTCAACAGTTTGCAAATCTTGAACAGAACCCATCGACGTTTGCAGTAGCTTCAACAGTTTGAAGCAGCTTGAACAGAACCCATTCGACGTTTGCAGCTTGCAGCAGCTTCAACAGTTTGCAGATCTTGAACAAAACCCATTCGACGTTTGCAGCTTGCAGCAGCTTCAACAGTTTGCAGCAGCTTCAACAGTTTGCGGTAACTTCAACAGTTTGCAGTAGCTTCAACAGAACCCATTCGACGTTTGCAGTAGCTTCAACAGTTTGCAGATCTTGAACAGAACCCATTCGACCTTTGCAGCTTGCAGCAGCTTCAACAGTTTACAGATCTTGAACAGAACCCATTCGACGTTTGCAGCAGCTTCAACAGAACCTGATCTTGAACAAAACCCATTCGACTTTTGCAGACAAAACCCATTCGACGTTTGCAGCAGCTTCAACAGAACTTGATCTTGAATAGAACCCATTCGACGTTTGCAGCTTCAATAGAACCTGATCTTGAACAGAACCCATTCGACGTTTGCAGCAGCTTCAACAAAACCCATTCGACGTTTGCAGCAGCTTCAACAGAACCCGATCCCTCAACGTAGCCCTTTCTCCTCTCTCTAAAAGGTAAGCTCGTTCCACCCATTCGACGTTTGCAGTAGCTTGAACAGAACCCGATCCCTCAACGTAGCCTTTTCTCCATGACATACTTTTTGAGTGCCATTTTTTTATTAAATGTTTTTATGTTAGGCTTCCAATTCATGCTAAAAGGTGGTTTAAATAAGAATGCCTTAATTAAATACCTTTATGAATGCCTAAATTAAATACCCTTATGAATATTGTGGGGATGCAGATCGAGAACAACAATGAAAGGGGGCAAGGTGTTATAGCTATTTGTTAGTATTGATATTCTCAATTCTGATTTGTTTGTCAAACACTATCATATTATACTTTTATTTTTGTTGCAAACTTGTGAAAAGCAGTATGTTCTTTGTGAAGTTGCATTTAAATACTGAATTTTGTAAACCAAAAGTCTCTATATTATTAGCAAGAAAGTAATTGAATTTGGGCCACTTCAAGACTTGCACAATACGCTTTATCAGTAGAAAAACTTTTGGATGGTTCATATTATTTAACAAAAAAAAAAGGTCATTGGCTCTATTGTTTTTAGTCATAATCATAATTTGAGCTTCCATATAGTTCATCACTAATTTATTGGGGACTGTTTAATGTGAATACTTTTCTTCTTTATGCATATTAGATTTGTTAGAATATAACCTGACACTTATTTCTAATGAGATTGAGTTAATGTTATATAAATACTAAATAGGCATGTATAATTGTAAAAATTAATAAGAAATATTCATTTTAAGAAATTGATTTTAGAAATTGAAATTATTATCGAAGTAGGTAATCTTAAATTTATTAAAATTCCTACAATATTAGTATATTTTCCCAAAGAATAAAATTTTATACTCTTCCAATAATTTGTTCTCGCAACTTGTTTAGCATGTTTCTGGCAATAAAATTTATCGCACATGTTTCTAACAACTTGTTTGCATTATTGTTTGATCCTAAAATTATATTATTGTTTTTGATTTGTTTTTTTTTTTTGCTATAGGGAACTAAACATGTCATCAACCACACCGGATATCTCTTCTATACCAGTTCAGCCGACAATAAATTCTTTTACTAGTCGAATTGTGTCAGATGATGGTAATGATTCAATGAATGAAGCTTTAGATGCCACTAATGGTAACACAGATAAAACACCAGTCATTGATGCCAATGATAGAGAATGTGATAATGCTGACCCTGAAGAGTGTGAAGAAAGTAATGAGAAAAAGAGGCAAAAGACATCTGCTGTTTGGTTAGAATTCAAAGAAGTCACTCTTTCTGATGGTTCCAAAAAAGAGAGTGTGTCCATTGCAAGAAGAAGCTAGCAATAAATACAAGTAAAAGTATGACTCAATTTAAGAGGCATTTGATAACTTGTGTTAAGAGAAAAATTTTTCAGAATCAACAACAAATGATCAACTTTCAGCAGTAAACACATGTGGTGATGTACAGATACTACCTGCTCTCACAGATGGCAAGTTTGATATGGTAAAGATGAGAGAAGCAGCTGCACATTGGATACTTATGCACGAGCATCCTTTTTCGATTATAGAAGAGGAAGGTTTTAACATGATGCAAAAACGTGGGATGCCTGAATGGGAAAAGGTATCACGCAATACTATTAAAAAGGATTGCATGCAAGTTTATGAAGCAGAAAAGAAGAAATTAAAGGCATTGTTGAAGACTATCAGCAAGATTAGTTTGACAACAGATTTGTGGAAATCAAGTAATCAAAAGATTGAGTACATGGTTCTTACAGCACACTTTGTAGATTTTAATTGGAGATTGCAAAAGCGTGTTATTAGCTTTGTTCACATACCTCCTCCTCGTCAAGTTGTTGAGATTGCTGATTGTATTTTTAAGTGTCTAAAAGAATAGGGAATTGAAAACAAGGTGTTTACACTTTCTGTGGACAATGCTTAAAGCAATGATGTGGTGATTAGAATTCTTAAAGACACTTTTTCAAGAAATAGGATATTGCTTTGTGGAGGAAAATTATTTCATGTTCGGTGTTGTGCACATATCTTAAATCTCATGGTTCAAGATGGCCTTTCTGAGATTAAGAATGTGATTGGTGATGTTCATGAAAGTGTCGATTTTATTAATCAAAATGAGGCAAGACTTAACTCATTTTCTGATATAGTACAACAGTTACAGTTACCTGATAGGAAACTCATTCTCGATTGTAAAACACGTTGGAATTCGACATTCGAGATGTTGTCGATTGCAATCAAATTCAAAGAAGTGTTTTCGAGACTCAAAGAGCGAGAATCTCATTATGAATGTTGTCCAAGTCATGAAGATTGGGAAAAGGTGGAGAAAGTTTGTGAGATTTTAGAAGTTTTTAATTCAGCCACTAAAATCATCTCTGGAAGTGATTATCCAACTTCAAACCTGTTTCTGAATGAAGTTTATCGTGTGAAAGTGTTGTTGGATAAAAGGATGAATGATGAAAATGAATTTGTTCAAGCAATGGTTCGTAAGATGAAGAGTAAATTTGATAAGTATTGGGGAGAATGTAATTTGTTGATGTCTATAGCAGCAATCTTGGATCCAAGGTGCAAAATGAGGGTGATTGAGTTTTGCTTTCCTCGAATGTACCCTGATAGAGAAGCAAAAGAAAATATTGCTAAAGTTCGAGATGCCCTTTATGAGATTTATGATGAATATGCTCGTGAGTATCAATTTGGCAATGAGCATAGTGCTGAAACTCAAGTGCATGATAATGGTATTAGTGGTATGAATATAGAAGCTTCTTCTTCTGGTTGGTTTGAATTTGCAAATTATGTAAAATCAGTTGAAACTGCTCAACCACAACAATCTGATTTAGATGTCTACCTACCTGAGGGCTGTTTTATCTATGAAGGAGATTCCACTAAGTTTCATGCTTTGGAATGGTGGAAAGGGAGCACTTTGAAGTATCGTATTTTATCCAAGATGGCTCGGGATATACTTGCTATTCCTACCACTACAGTGGCTTCAGAAGCTACCTTTAGTGCAGAAGGTAAAGTTATTGATACTTATCGTGCTTCTTTATCTCCTGACACAGTGCAAGCATTACTTTGTGGAGGAGATTGGTGTCGAAATCTTCATGGAGTGAAGAAGAAGAACAAAGTGAGTTTTTTTTATTATTATTTTGTTATTAGGTGACTATCATTGCTTTAATCTAATTTTTAACTATTATTTTCCTTTACTTTATCTATGTAGAAAGAGAAGAAATCAATTGAGATTGCACTCAAAATCTCCTAAAGTGAGGATATCTAATGTCTTCTATACAGGTATGAAATATTATTATTAAATACTTTTAATTTGTCACAACATTACTAAAGAAAAATAGGTAGTAGCTAGTCTAGATTGAGCTTTTTGCATTATAATTTACGAACCATAGGTTAACTAATGATAGAAACTCATGTTAAGGTAATTGACAAGATACTGTTTATATTTTTTTGCTCTGATTATAAGACAACTGACAAGATAAAATCCATGTTGATGCTAATGTTAAAAATTTAAAGTTATTGATCATTGTAATAATATTACAATCTTTTTCTTGCATGGGTACTTTTATCGTTATTCTTATTGTTAATTATAATTTCTTTGTTTTGTAATTATTCTTTTGTATAGGTTTATTGAAAAGCAATATGAGCCCAATGTTCATTTGAAGACATAATATTGTGAAGGCAGCATATGTATTGTTGTTGGTTTGTTGTAACTTATTTGTGAACTTATTTGCTTGGATATTTAATATCTTTCAATTAGGATTTTAATTTCTAAGTTTCATTATGTCTTATATTTGTGTGTTGTATTTGAATCATTTAATGAGACTTTTATTTGCTTAAATTTGGTTGTTGTGTAAGTTATTATTATTATTATTGTTGTTGTTGTTATCTTGAAAATATAATATTTATTAGGTTTGATAAAAATTAGTTATAAAAGATCTCGAGCTCGAGCTCGAATAATCGAGTTTTTTTTCGAGTATAAAAATCGAGCTTTTTTTTATATATTAATCAAGCTTAATCGAGCGAGCTCGAATAGCTCGAATTTGATCACGAATCGAGTTCGAGCTTGAAAAATGAAACTCGATCGAGCTCGAGCCGAGTATCGAGCCCTGAGTTGTGAGTCGAACTCGAGCTCGAGCTTCTCATTATTCGGCTCAGCTCGTTTACAGCCCTAGTATAGCCCTTCTATCATGTTGGCGGCACGAAAAAAAAATTAAATTTTTTTTTAAAAATCTTATTAAATATATAAAATTAAAAATAATAAAAGAAAAAAATGCAGCATTTCCTTAAAAAAAAAAGAAAAGAAAGCAGCTCACACAAAAATGAATTTGAAGTCTACAAAATATTTATTAAATATAAAAAAAGAAAATAATAGAAAAAGAAATCTAATGTCTTTTATATCAAATGGGTTTTACATAAAAAAAATTAAAATCTAAAAAATATATTTATTAAAAACAATTTACAAAATAAATCTAAAATGCAAATAAAACATGGTATAAAGTGAGTCTTAACAAAAAAAAATTAAATATTAAAAATTTTAAAAAAATTTAAAAAAAAATGAAAATTACCAGGTGCTACGTACCACAACCTAGAGGGATTGTACATTAGTAAAATTAACATTATAGATTTGTCACATATCCATATGATAGTCAATAAAAAAAAATTAAATTGACATATCTAGTGACATGAAACCCTTTAAAGGGTGTTTAATTCACAAATTCTTGGATTTTGATGAGAAAATATTTATCATAATCTCTTTGATAAGTTGTAGGCAACCTTTAATTTTGTTTTAATAAAATTTTTTCGAACGATAAAATGATACCTTTAGCAACAAAAGAAAACAAAGAATTTAATTTTTTAAAAAATTAAATATATGTAATTACGGCATTTAACTAGACATAATGCTGTAATTAACTAAATAAAATATACAAAAAATTTCAATTACGACATTTCAAACATATTGAACACCTTATTTGATCTGATTGTATAATTGAAAAAACTTCTCAATTATAGCATTTGGAACAAATGATTGCCTTAATTGACATGTTTTATAATTATTTAAAACTCTCAATTACGATGTTTGTTTAATAGGAATGCCTTAATTACTTTCATTTTAGAATTTGAAAAAACTCCTCACTTATGATATTTGTTTAATATAAATGTCTTAATTGATTTTTTTTTCTCAGTTACGATATTTGGAACAGATAAACACCTTAATTGGCAAGTTTTATAATTGTTTAGAACTCTCGATTATGGTGTTTGTTTAATATGAATGCCTTAATTGCTTTTGTTTTAGAATTTAAAAAAACTCATCATTTACGACATTTGTTTAATATAAATTCCTTAATTGATTTTTTTTTTAATCACACAACGTTTATTGGTAAGAACGTCTTAATCGAAACAACATAAAAAAATTAAATTACTCAATTAAGGTGTTTCTTTTACTAAAATGCCGTACTTAAGTAATTTTAAAACCATAAAACCTATTCATTTCTATTCTTGTATCTTGAAAGACTAAACGGCTAAAACCCTTCAATGGTAAAGGAACCTATTCGTGTACTTTTAAAACAATAAACTCATTCACTTTCCATTTTTGTTTCTTCATCTCTCTCATTACGGCTAACTGTGGTACCATCACCCCCATCATACATTGTCTAACTCTGGTAAGTGTAAAATTTTTTTCTTTTATTTTTTTCTTTTATTCATGTATGGATGCATTTTTTTATTCTTCCTTAATATATATTTATATATTTATTTATATATGCCTTTAACACCATTACCATCATCGCACACCCTCATTGCATTATTGTTTACATGCATGGTTTTTTTTTTTTTTTTGTATGGTTGGAGTTTTGTGGCTTGTTGATTAGTTCTATGAAAAGTAGGTCTTTGATGAATATGATTTGCAATTCCACCTTTACTGCTATGGATTTATACACAGAAAGTTTGGTTGAAAGCATGCCTATATACTAGAATGGTTTTATATTTTTTGTCATTTGTTTTGCATGGACTTTTATGATATGATGAAACATAGTATGGCTTGATTCATGTATTTTATTATTGGTTTTGTTTTGTGTATTGCATATTGGTTTGTTTCTTAAATTTTATATAATTTTGATAAAAATCGCAAGTAGTATGGCTTCAGAAAAACATATGTTTTCCTTTACCAAATATGAAGAAGATACACCCACATTGAAAAAGTAAAAATCAAAGGAATATGGTAAATCGTTTAAAGCGAGTAAGATAAAAATTCATGTGGAGTTCAATCAAGATAGGCAGTATATCTATTACCTCTCTTGGTTGGAAGATGGTTCCAAATGATAAGAATGATAGTATATGAGATTCGGTTGTGGTAAACTTAATCAATGAAATCCAGAGTAATTCATTTTTATTGTTAATTGTTAATGGAATAAAATTACAGTGTTAAGTTTATTTAATTTAATCTTTTTTATAGGAACTGTTTGACCTCCTATTCGAGTATAAAAGCTTGTGTTGCAAGCTACTAGAAAAACATTCAGAGACTTTAAGAGTAGATTAACAATCAAATATATTTTATTGTTCACTGATAATTCTAAATTGTCATTTGATCCTCCAACAACATATGTAGATGTTATCAGTTATGTGGAATGGTCGTAGTTTGTTCAAGATCGTTTATCAGATGAATTCTCAGTATGTATACCTAAGTTTTTATATTCTTGTACCTTGAAAGACCAAACGGCTAAAACCCTTCAATGGTAAAGGAACCTATTTGCGTACTTTTAAAACAATAAACTCATTCACTTTCCATTTTTGTTTCTTCATCTCTCTCGTTGCTGCTAACTGTGGTACCATCACCCCCATCACACATTGTCTAACTCTGGTAAGTGCAAATTTTTTCTTTTTCTTTTTCTTTTTTATTCATGTATGGATGCATTTTTTTATTCTTCATTAATATATATATATATGCCTTTACCACCATCACCATCGTCGCACACCCTCATTGCATTATTGTTTGCATGCATGGTTTTTTTTTTCTTTTGTATGGTTGGAGTTTTGTGGTTTGCTGATTAGTTCTATGAAAAATAGGTTTTTGATGAATATGATTTGCAATTCCACCTTTATTGCTATGGATTTATACACAAAAAGTTTGGTTGAAAGCATGCCTATCTACTGGAATGGTTTTATATTTTTTCTCATTTGTTTTGCATGGACTCTTATGATACGATGAAACATAGTATGGCTTGTTTCATGTATTTTATTATTGGTTTTGTTTTGTGTATTGCATATTGGTTTGTTTCTTAAATTTTATATAATTTTGATAAAAATCGCAAGTAGTATGGCTTTAGAAGAACATATGTTTTCCTCTACCAAATATGAAAAAGATATACCCATATTGAAAAAGTAAAAATCAAGGGAAAATGATAAATCATTTAAAGCGAGTGAGACAAAAATTCATATGGAGTTCAATCAAGATAGGCAGTATATCTATTACCTCCCTTGGTTGGAAGATGGTTCCAAATTATAAGAATGATAGTATATGGGATTCAGTTGCAGTAAGTTTAATCAATGAAATCCAGAGTAATTCATCTTTATTGTTAATTGTTAATGGAATGAAATTATTGTGTTAAGTTAATTTAATTTAATCTTTTTTATAGGAATTGTTTGACCTCCTATTTGAGTATAAAAAGTTTGTGTTGCAAGCTGCTAGAAAAACATTCAGAGACTTTAAGAATAGATTAACAACCAAATATATTTTATTCTTCACTGATAATTTTAAATTGTCGTTTGATCCTCCAACAACATATGTAGATATTATCAGTTATGTGAAATGATCGCAGTTTGTTTAAGATCGTTTATCAGATTAATTCTCGTTATGCATACCCAACTTCTTAAGTTTTTATAATACATTGTTTAATATAATTATATGTTAATATGTAATTGATATTTTTTTTTTCTCTAAAAAACCAAAGAACAACAAAAGAAGTGTATCATGCAAATGTATCATCATTAGAAATTGAAAAAGGGTTATGCAAATGTCAAGTATGATCTTGTAAGTATTCAAATACTTTTATTATACTCATAAATGAATATTATGAACTTCATTAAATGAAAATATGAAACATATATTAATTAATGGTTTTAGGAATCATCCAATTTGAGAACCAAATTTCTAGATAGGATGTTTGGAAAAAAAAGATATATACGCAAAGATGAATTGTATGGGAATCAAGTAACTGAAGAAAAGGATAAAAAAATTGTAAGTTGATTTTGTTT